TATATATATATATAATTCGAATTAATTTCGAGCGAAAATTGCATTTTTTCCTTCTCTCTCTCTCTTCAAATATTTGGTTCTTTTTCGTCTGTACACATCGATAGGGGGGGGGAGGGAAAAAGCTCGTCCTTTGAAAGAGACTCGTCGCTTTGAATCCTTTCGAGCCTTTGAGCCGAGTTCTCGACGCCTGTGCACAAAAAAGAAGAAGAAAAAAAAAAAAAACGAGTCGTTGGCGACGCTCGAGGCAGCGTAATTATTCGAAGTGGATGGAGGCCGGCTTTGATGTCGAATGGCGTGACCCGAACCGGGTGGATGCATAACGCATGCGGAATCGCGCCACTTTTCATTTTCCCTCGTGTAATAAATCGTCGTAAATGGGCCGAGAGAATTTTCGACTTTTATCCTCTTCTCACGAAAACATAGAATCGCGGAGAATCTCTTTTAATCTCCTTCCTTCCTTCCTCGTACGCCTTCCTTTATTACCGATCGAGCCTTCCAAATCTACGATCGAACGAACGAACGAAAGTTCCTCCGATCAAATACGTAAGAAAACGATCGATGAAGGAGGAGGAGGAGGAGGAGGAGGAGAATTCTTTTCCTCGCCAATTCGTGCCCTCGGCTCGCGACGAAAACGAGAGAGGAAATATATATATATATATGTTCACCCGGCTCGGCCGATTATCATATTAACAAGGAGGAATGTGGTGTGCAGCGTGTGACTTATTGGCTCGAATATTTTCACAGCGCGTGTGGGCGTAGTCTGAGCCGAGGGACTCGTCTCGATCGAGTAAGCGATTAATGGATCCGATCTAGATCTCGCGGTGTTATCGAGCCTCGATCGACAATTCGTGTATGTGTGTGTGTGTGTATATATATATATATAATACGAGTCGACAGAGAGAGAGAGAGAGAGACTAGACGTCCTCGAGGAGAGGAAATATCGAGTTCCTTTGAAATTCCTTCCTGTGGAAAACAGGTTTCGAAACGGCTGATTCCTTTTCGTTTATTTTACCCGTTTATCGTTGTTGTTGTTGTTGTTGTTGTTGTTGTCGTTTCCTCTCCCTTATTATTATCATTATAATGGAACATTTTTCACCTGTCTTCCCTCAAACTCTTCTTCTCCCGTATTCTTCCTTTTCCCGTTCGAGCTCGTGAAAAGTTCGAATCGAAGAAATTGTTCAGAAATATTTCCAAATGCTGCTTCGAGATTGAGAAGTAAAAACTGTGTGAGGGATGTGGATGTTGATGCTTCCCTTCGAGGTGGGGAAAAGTAGAAGAAGGATCGGTTAGGCGTCGATATAGGAACAGAGAGTAGAGAAAAAGGCATCCATCCGCGCGGATGGAAAAGCGGCGCCATATTAGAGGCGACCTGTTTCGAAACGGCCGCCTTGGGAATCGACGCCTAAGGAGCTCCTCGAGACCGCCTTAATGAGACCTCGCTCCTTGCCTTTTTCTTCTCCTCCCCTCCTCGTTTGTTTGCCAATCTTCTGCCTAGGCTAAATTCACACACGAGACGAAGTAAGAATGTAAGAAAATAAAGAATGTAAAAAGGAAGCAAGGATTAGTTTATAGTTTGTTTGGAAAATTCATTTTGTTCTATCGACGATGATAGAACATTTTTGGGCGGGTTTATCAGTAGGTGTAATCGCGTTCTTAAATGTAATTACGAGTGCAAAATCGTTAAAAGTGAACGTAATTGAGAGATTAATAATCGGTGGAACAAAAGTAATCAGTAATCCGAGACGTGTTTAATAATTATTCAGTTAAACTCGTTCGTTTTACAAGCAAAATTCCCGACGAAATCTCGACTCTAAATGAGCGTTGTTCAACTTTTTACAAAAAGTTGGGAGCTAGAAAAATATATATATATATATGCATCGGGGAACGAGTCAGGCTGGATTTTATCGCTCGGGTTGAAAAATCTAGCGTGCATCCATAAATATTCGACTCGCCTTGTGCAATTCGCTTCATTTTCTAAAAGAAGAATACATCCTCCTCGACTCGACTCGAGACGCCGTCCATTTTTTTTTTCTTTTTTTTTTTATGAAACGCACGAGCCAATAGGGACGCGCCTCGAAAGGGTTGCGTCGAAGCGAGGAGAGACGGTTGGCAAAAAGGCTGGGGGAGAGGTGACGGGCGAAAAGGAGCAAAACAGGAGCGGAGGAGTGAAAGAAAGAAAGGGGAGAGGGTAACAGGATGATTAAATACCCCTCTCTTTGCAAGATCTTATTTCCTCGATGCTGCAAAAAATTAAAAATTACTTTTTCTCGCGAAAATCGCGACGTCGTTCTAACGCGGCGGATCCAATTACAGGCGGGGCATTCGATTAATTGCACGAGTAGTGTGTGCAGCTGCAACGCTGTCGTCCCGCTTATATCCCCGATATTACGTTTCACGGCCCTAAATTTAGATCCGTGGCAGGCTTGAAGAGTTCGTCCCGCGTCGATCTTGACGCAATTCGCCGGTTTTATACTGTTGATATATATCAGAGGAGGGGGGGGAGATTATATTCGAGGGGCAAGAATTTTTGGGAAAAAAGGGGGAGGAACGAGGCAAAGTGGGAACTTGAATCCTTGAATTCTAATTAAGGGGGCGAAGATGGCGCTTGGGGAGCGATATTTAAGATTTTGCCTCGAAACAGATTTTATTAATTTCACTTGCGCCCGTACGAGAAACTTTTCTTCCTTTCGTCGCAATGAGTTCAAATAAGATGGTGTTCGTCGAAATATTAATTTCACGTTTTGCTCGTTTGCAAAACACCTATACCCTTCCTCTTCGAATTATTTTCTGATATAATTTTTCTTCCTCGCCGCGACGATTCCGAATAAGATAAAGATTCTGTTCATCGAAATATTAATTTCACGCGCGAAAAACTTCTCTTCGAAAATTTTTCTTCGGCCTAAACACGGTAAAAAGACCCTTCCTCGCCCCCATGATTCCAAATAAGATGAAGATGCTGTTTATCCAAATATTAATTTCACGTGTACAAAACACATCTCTTCTACTCAACTTTCTCTTTAAAAATAATTCATCATTTTTCTTCTCGAGCCGAAAGAAGAATTTTCCTAGCCGCGTACAGAAGAAGGGGAGCCGTATGTTGGGCGAGGAACACGGCGTGACCGTCGTCGGCTCGAAGCTCGTCGAATTAATGCTCGTAATTCAGGGAGGGGGCGGAGGAGGAGGAGGAGGAGGGGGTGGAGTTCGGCAAAACATTGGCTCGTTATCAGCGTATGCCGCCGCCGAGAGGCGGCGGGGCCGGCAAGAACCGTATCCGATGTATCGATCCCCTCCACCCCCTGGACGCGACGAGAACAGGCTTGCGCCTTCGAATATTTCGAATCGCCTCGCCTTACGTTCACAAATATCTAATGTCTCCGAGACCGAGCCGCTACGTGCGTCTAATTGCGGAGGGCGGGGCTGCCCGCGGGGGTGGAGGGAAGAGGAGGAGGGGGGATATGGCGCGCGTCGAAGACACGTCGTCGAAAGAGGAGGAGGGAGCGCAATTAAGACGTCCACGGCAATTAGCCGCGTTTGCGATCGGCTCGCGTAAAACCCGATCATTCCACGCACGCACGCACGGATCAGGTTCCCTTCCCTTCCCTTTTCCGGATCGAGCACCGAACATTTTTCAATCGAGCGGGAGAAGAGCGAGACTTGCCTCGATCACATCTGGATTGGTCGAATTAAAAGCCAATTTTTGCAGATATACTTTCTTGATATACTTTCTCTTCGATTAATTTCGTTCATCGAGATTATCGGTGTTCCATTTTTCACCGAGGATCTCGTCCATCTCGAAATTCATCAGAATCCGTCACGATTGCTCGATCCTTCTACTGCTACTAGCTCGATTATACCCCTCCGTGAAATGCCACCGACGTATTACGGGCGATTATAATCGGTCCGCACAAGATGCCACTGAGGTATTACGGGTGGCTATAGTCGCAATATGCCACTGAGATATGCCATACGCGATTACAGTCGTTTTGCATACGGTTATCGGTTATTCCACGATACGACGAGCGATTGGAGTTATCGCGCGTCGAGTATATCTATATCTGGAAACGTGGCATCGATATCGTCAGTTTTTATCGTCACTTGTTTTTCCCGCAATAAACGCCAAAGCAACGCGGGTCGAGGCGTGAACGGCGACGAAAATCGTTTCTCGTGCAACATTTTGGGGGGCGGGGGGGAGTAACAGTTGCTTCGCAACAACAATAAAAATAAATAAAAAAGTCGACTAAGAGGACTAAGGTTGGATTGGTTCTTCCAGCAAGGATGTCGAGCAGCGGAGTGGCGAGCGGGCCGGTGAGCCAGGTGTGCCGGCCGCACTTCCACAGCTCGGTGCTCCACCCGTGGCTGTCGGGGAGCGGGGCGGACACGTCGAAGACGCCGTGGGGATTCCCGACGACGACAGGCTCGACCGGGAGCGCGGTGAGCGACGACAAGCCCCAGAGCCCCCTGGGATCCTCCCTGCCCCCGACCACCGGCAGCCTGTCGGGCCACGGCGGGGCCGGCCACCACCTATTCTCCTTCCCCCCGACGCCGCCCAAGGACGCGACCCCCGACAGCATCACGGCCAGCACCACCTCCGCCACCAACAACAACAACAACAACACCAACAACAACAACAACACCACCAGCGCCAACGGCAACAACCCCCTGTCCGGCCTCGGGGGTGGGGCGAGCAGCGAGTACCAGGCGGCCGTGGCCCACGCGGCCGTCATGGGCGCGTTCATGCACCACCAGGACGCGCTGGGCGGCGGGGGAGCGGGCTCGTGCGACGTGAAGCCGAGCGTGATGCTGGCCCACCACCACGGCGCCCCGTCGCCGCCCCATCAACAGCACAACGGGACTGGGAACGGCGGGAACGGAGGGACAGGGGCGAGCGGAGGCGGCGGGGCCGGCGGCCAGGTGAAGCAGCGCGAAGGTAATAATCAGTCGGGCAGCCAACAGGCGAGCACCGCGCAGCAACAGCAGCAGCAACAGCAGCAGCAGCAGCAGCAACAGCAGCAACAGGAGGCGGCCGCGTATCAGGGGAGCAACGTGGCTGGCGGGGGTGGCGGTGGTGGTGGCGGGGGGGCGAGTTCGCCCTCGTGCAGGGAGAGTTACGCGGCCGCCGCCGCCGCCGCCGCAGCCGCGGCCGCGGCCGCGGCCGCCTCCAACACCCACCACGCGACCTCCGGATCCCAGTACGACCCGGCGACCAGCGCGTATAACATGTACCAGCACCTGCAGTATCCTAGTACCACCCACCACCATCACCATCACCATCATCACGCCGCCTCCTCGTCGTCTTCTTCGTCTTCGTCCCACAATCCGCACAACGGGGCCGCCGCGGTCTCCGGTATTTTCGGCC